AAAGAGTTCTAGAGATTACACAACAATATGAATACATTTAATACTACTGAACAGTAATTATTTCAAAATAGTTAACATGACTGATTTTATGGTTTTCTGCACTGATACATAAATATCTAGTACAGTGGCTCTTACAGCACTAAGAGTTTAAAGCTTTCATGAACTTATTAGAATGCATGCATCCTTTCCTTACATTCCAATGTTCTACATATTTTTATGTCTATCACTACATTTAAAACAATTTACTGGCAAGTATTTGACTTTGTATACATTAAAAATCCTTTCAAAGCAGTATTAGGTCTTTAATTTGGCCTTCATTCTTCAATGACTTATGTTACTTACAAGCTATAAGTTGTAGTTGCTGCTAGCCTGTCAATAACCCTCAGAGAAAGGACTATATTCCTTAATATAACAGAGATACCACCTCTGCCTATACACAAAGCCCCAAGACCAAAAGAGGTCTGATTTGTGCTCAATTAGTTGAGTCTCCTACTATTCAGGGAAGAGAGGAGGAAGGGGCTCAAAAAAGGAAAAGAAAAAAAAAAGGTAACAGAGGGCTACAGGCAGCCAGATGCCTTTTGTAGTCTATGTGTATGGCAGAGGCAGCTGGTTAAGTCTGTGTTGTCTTGTCCTGAAGAGGCAAGGAAAGGAAGACCTTTTTCCTCATCTAAGTCAATCTCATAGGAAAAATAGAAAGACTGAAGGTTGCCCTACTTTCCTTCTGCTCAGCTCCTCTGAATAGGAGGGGAAAAAGGGCAGTAACCCACGCAAAAGGACAGTATCTAGCTCAATTTATCCTAGCTCAAGGACAAAAAGATGGTGGCTAGATGGAAATACCAGAAGTCACCATTCACTCTCCCTATCTATACAAGTTCTATCACAAGTTACCTCCTCAGACTGCTGTCCCTATAAAAACCATAATTAGATATTTTTAAATATTTCAAATATTCAAATATTTCAAATATTTTTGAACTTTCTGATAAATTCTCCCTCATACTATGTCAATTCTTGGAGATTTTTTACTAAATACATTTTTAGGAATGTGGTTCACTTGTAAGTAGAAGTGCATCTGTTCATATACCCACTGGCTTCCTAGATACCTTGAAGAGAGAGGTTATCTTTTATAGTTTTATAGTCTTAGTAATAAAGAGGTGCTCAGTAAATATTTGGTGAATAAATGAAACATTCTGGCCGGTGCTGTGGCTCACTAGGCTAATCCTCCGCCTTGCGGCGCCGGCACACCGGGTTCTAGTCCCGGTCGGGGCACCGGATTCTGTCCCGGTTGCCCATCTTCCAGCCCAGCTCTCTGCTGTGGCCAGGGAGTGCAGTGGAGGATGGCCCAAGTCCTTGGGCCCTGCACCCCATGGGAGACCAGGAGAAGCACCTGGCTCCTGGCTTTGGATCAGCGCGGTGCGCCGGCCACAGTGCGCCGGCCGCGGCGGCCATTGGAGGGTGAACCAACGGCAAAGGAAGACCTTTCTCTCTGTCTCTCTCTCTCTCTCACTGTCCACTCTGCCTGTAAAAAAAAAGGAAAAAAAAAGAAACATTCTGAATAGCTTTTAATTGGTAATTATTCTCTGAGGTCATAACTGAAGTTTTGAATCCCTTTCCACTTCCATTTAGGTAATATTTCTTCCATTAAACCAACAGCACTTGAATTCCACTTCTTGTAGACTATATGTCTTGGCAAAAAGACATAAATTTGAACACCATTTCTGCCTCATAATATCTGTATGATGCTTGAAAGTTCTTTAACTCCTCTAAGATTCCGCTTTGAAAGGGTAATAGGGATGGGTGTTATGGCACAGCAGGTTAAGCTACCACTAGGGAAATCTGCATCCCATATAAGAGTGACCTGGATTAAGTTCCACCTCTGCTTCCAACTCAGCTTCCTGTCAATGCACCTGGAAGGCAGCAGATGATGGCTCAATTACTTGCATCCCTGCTAGCCACATGGGAGACTTAAATGGAGTTCCTGGCTCCTGGCTTTGGTCTGGCCCAGATCTGACTGTTGTGGGTATTTAGAGAGTGAACCAGGAAACAGAAGATTCTCTGTCACTCTGCCTTTCAAGTAAATAAACACTAAAAAAAAGTTGGAAAATCTGCCATGTTCTTTAAAATAAGTAAATAAAATGAGGTAACACCACCTACTGAAGAGAAATGTTCTGAGGATTATTAATATGTGGGCAGTCTTTACTTTGCAAAGTTCCAATATGCAAAAATTTCACTTACTATAGTTTAAACACCAATCCCCCAATGACACAATTCAAAGTTCAGTTACCACTGCATATTAATTGAATACAGTACAAACTTTGCTACTAGATCTTTAGTCTACAAATCACTGTAAATAGAGGAACACCATGATTACCAGCCAAGTCAGTTCTGTTGAAGTTTATTGGTGATCAAACTTCATCTCTGTTTTCAGTTCATATACAGACAGCAAAGCATATACAGAGCAAAACATACACAGTTCATATAGAGAAAGCAAAGCAGCTCATGAGGTTGCCTCCTGGTCTCCTAGAGACAAACTTCTGGGATGTTTTACAAAAATGAGTTAGAAAGAGGGTACTGGCCAACAATGATGAAAGAGCAGCTGAGAAATAAAAAGTGATAATGCCAAATGTGAAATTCCAATCAAACATAAACTGAGTTACAGATGAAATGCATGACGGTACAAATGTTGACACTGCTACCATTGAAGAGACTACAGTATGCAGCCTGAGGAACTTAGAAACAGCAAACTTATCAACACAAATGAACAAAGTAGTTGTGGTGAAAAAGATGAGGATGCCCCAGTAGCGAAACTGACCAAAAAAGTTGCATTAAAGGAACTCGCAGAGATTTTTCACAATATTGAAAGTGCAAAGGACAAACTGTTAAAAGCTGATATAGACTTAGAAAGGATGAACCAAGGCACAGAAAAGATTCCATAAAAGTTATATGAGAGGGCAAGCACTGTGGAAACTACTCTTATTATTTTACACAGAAAAAAAAAACACTTAATTCATAATGGTTTTAATGTTTAAAATTACAGTGAATGAAATAAATGTTAGTTTTGCTTTTTTCACTTCCCTTTATAAACAACAGAGAGAGTGTTTACAGTGTTTAACAAAAAAAACTTTTTAAAGATTTATTTATTTATTTGAAAGGCAAAGCAACAGAGAGAGAGGGAGAGACAGAGAAAATCTTCCATATGCTGGTTCATTGCAAAGAAAGGCTGCAACAGCCAGGGCTGGGCTAGGTCACAGCCAGAAGCCAGAAACTCCATTCCAGTCTACCACATGAGTGGCAGGGACCCAAGTACCTGGACCATCATCTGTTGCCTTCCCAAGTGCATAAGCAGGGAGCTATATCAGAAATAGAGCAGCCAGGACTTGAACCAGCACTTTGCTATGGAATTAATCCACTGTACCATAATGCCAGCCCTTTGACAAAAACTTATAAAGGTCATAGACAAATGGTAACTTTTCTCATTGATTATTAATATTGCTTTGCTTGGCTTTAACTCACATGGTCATGTGTATGGTCCTACACTATCTTACAAAATGAGGGCTGTCTGTACCCATAATTTCAGGCACACAAAGAAGCTTATTATCCACAACTAAAGGGAGACTCTACCTTTCCCCTGGTACTATAATCTGCTCAAACAAAAAGGAATTGGAACTGCTAAAACGAAAGTTTCTCAGGTACTGAAAATAACTGAGAATCACTACCATATCTAAACATGAAATTCCCCAAACTCAACTTATTTACTTACCATTGATATAAATATTATGATGATAAGACATTTGTTTTGCGCACATAATATTTTGAACATATTACTAGTCAGCATATTTTTCACAAGTTAATTTAATTTTCTTACTCCAAAATATGACAAACCTCCACCACTTGCTATGGTAAGACTTGACCTCAATTCCCTTCAGATCATTTTCACTCAAGGTAAACGCACAAAAGAATGCCAACATTCACTCATCTTCTTCTTGAATCTTCTCGAATTTTTGTCAAAATCTACCTGTAGTCTGTTCAGAGTCTCCTTTTCTGAGGACACTGAAAACTAAAGCCATTTCCCATTTCTCAGAGCCATCTGCCAGAACTTTAGTTGATCTTGCTCTCTCATAGTCCACAGGACTTAATGGCCAGTTTTCTCCTTTGATTCTAAACCAAAATCTTGGTTATGATCTACATAGACCCATAGGGATGCAAAGGATCTAAAAGCCACCTAAGGCCAGCTCCTTTTCTCTACTAAAGAATTAATTCCTCCTAAAATATTCACAGGAGTTGGTTAAGCAATGTCTGTTTTAACACTTTCAGTGACAGAATGCCCTCTACCCCCAGGCAACCTGTTCCATGACTATATAACTGGTTAGAAAATTTTTCACACGTTGAAACAAAGTCCCTTACAGTTGTTTTCTACTCATCTGGCTTAATTCCAGATTCTGGAGAAATGCATAGAGTTGATTGCTATATCTGATAGCCCACCCAGTATCTGAAGACCCTTTAGTTTCTCTTTCCCATATTACACATTTCCAGCTCAGAGATCATGGTATTAAGTCCTTTCCCTCATAGTCATGGTTCTCTGAACCAGGCATGAGCTTGCAAAGTGATCTGACAACAAATTGATAAACTGCTTCCTTTGCCAACATTTAGGCTCAACATTTAAGTCAAATAATTACACTATAAATGACTTCTTTGCTCATTTATATATGGAAGTGACCCTAAGCATAAAGCATGGTCTTAAGGGAATGGAAAGCTAAAGTTCTGAACTGAAAAGGGTTTTATTTTCTTTCTTTTTTTTTTTAACTTAGCCAATTACTGGAACAGAATAAAGTAGGTTCATCTGGCACAAACCCCTCCTCTTTGCTACAAAGCCAAACATGCATGTCCAGGAGAAGGAATTAACAATAGGAAAGTTAGCTAAGAAAAATTTTGCTCCATGCCCGAGAAAGTAAATCCAATTTAAAGACAGCAGTATGGTTAGCTGAAGATAATGTTCTCCGTACCTTGCCAGAAGGAGGTACCTGAAAGAAGAATCAAACATCGCACTCTCAAAACTTGAAAAGCCTGGCAGGGATAATCATCTAGGAACACGCGCACACACGCACACACACACACACATAATCAGCAATCTGGCCAGCAGGGTCTGTCAGGGCAACAGTTACAAGACTCCTCAAGTCCTCAGAAGGTGCAGTCAGTTGAAAGCAGTGTCCTCAAATGACCCCTAACCCCTAGACAGTCCAACAGGAGGCAGAGTAAAGTGGGTGGTCCCTTGTGCTCTCGGGAGCCTGGCCCTGCAGGACCATGTAGATTGTGTGCCCTGCCTGGAACTTCTGGTGTTCGATGATAGTGGAAGAGTCGTACTCGGGGAGCAGATGACCTCTGATACTTGAAGATATACTGGGTGGGAGCGTGTGCGTGTGTGCCAGCGTGTGTGCGTGCGTGTGTGTGGCGGGGGGGCTCGTCCATGTGGTCTGTGCCCTGGAGATGAGTGCGAAGGTCTGATAAGAACAGAGAAAGAGGAAGGAAAAGACTTCAGAGTTTCTCAGATTTGGCTGTAGAAGCTAGGAACTGTCCCCTTCGCCGGTGCCCTTCCAGCTAGGGTGGTGGTGGCAATGGCCGAGCAGGTGTCCTGGGCCCTCCTCCAATTAGCTGAGTCTTCGCTTCTCCCAACCTCACCCCACATCTGCCCCTCAAGAATCCCCAGTCCTGCTCCTCAGGCTTTCCTCTGAGGTCCAGCAGGGGCTCCCCACTTCCCTTCCGCCCCCCAACCTCAAGACCCCCCCTCTTCAACCCGTCCAGACCGCAGCACGTCTCACTTGACACACGGGACTCCCCCTGGTCTGCTGCCCCCCGGCCCCGGGCGCCGCACCACCGCTCGCCGGCCAGGCCTGGTGCCTCCCCTCGGCCAGGTTCGCCCTTTGCCTCCCTCACACGGCGTCTCCCCTCAGACCCGCGTCCTCCCTCCCCGTCTCGGGCCACACTCACAGAACTCGGCGATGTACCAGGTCACGGCGTAGTTCTCCTCGCACCAGTCCAGCGTAGAGGTCGTGGGGCCCCAGTAGCCCTCCCGGTCCACCGCCGGAGCCATCGCGCTGCCGCCGCCGCCCAGGCGCTTCGCTCGCTGCGCTCGGCTCGGCGGGATCCCAGGCCGGCTCCGGCCCAGCTCTCGCGCCCGCTCACGCCCCGAGGGGCGTGGCCGGCGCCGTCACTGAGGCGGCCGGGCCGGGAGGCCACGCCCACCGGCGCTGCCGGGCTGCCGGCCCGGCGAGCGCAGGCCCGGCCCGAGGGCGCTGGGTGGCCGGGCGCCTCCTCCCTCTGTGGGCGGGCCAGAGGCGAGATCCAGGAAGGAGCGGGAACCTGGACTGCCTGGCCCGCCTAGACACGCCCTCGTCGGTAGGTCTGGGGCTCCTGATAGCCCAGGGGCTCTTTTCTGTCAGGACGTGTCTGAGGCGCTGTCTCTCTCTCTCTCTCTCTCTCTCTCTCTCTCTCTCTCTCTGATTTGATTTAATTGGGGCGGGGGTGGGAGGAAGGCTTTTTTCCAGCCCGTGCTTGATTAAACTTGTGCAGCGATGCGCCTCAGTGTCTCCCATTGTCCCCAGGCCTCAAAAGGAGCCCGGAAACCGAGTATCTCTTAGTCAACTCCAGCGATTCCCAGGAAATAGGCCGCCGTTTTCTGAAAAAGGTGTGTCTCCTAGGGTCCAAGGGAAAGGGCAGCAACCTCGGACAGAAAGAAAGAGAAAGAAAGTGCCCGGATCCTTAAAGAGAACGCCGCCTGACAGAGCGCTGCCGCAGTTAGCCTGCCGCCTTGGGCTTCCAAGGCCCGAGATTTCTGCCCTCTGACTGTCGCTGGCAACCAACGGCCTCCCCCTAGTCCCGCTTCAAGACTCCATTACTCCGCAGAGCTGCCGGAGCCAGCCTTTAAAAGCGCACATGCAGCCTCCCTCCCTGTGCTCAGCCTGCAGGGAGTGCGCTCGCTCAGTGCCCCTGCTCCTGCCTTTGCTGTTCAAGTTCGGCTGGGCTGGCCTGCTTCTCTTCATTTGGCTAACTTTAAAATCTAGCTCCCGGAAGCCTTCTCTCACTTTCACTCGCAAGAGTTCCCTTGCCATTGTTGACATCCTCCTGTGATAGAACAGATTAGGGATCTTGCTTGCCATTATTTTTTATTAAAGGTTTGTTTATTTATTGGGAAGGCAGAGTTAAGAGAGGAAGAGAGACAGAGGGAGAGAGAGAGAATACACACTTCCAAATGTTGGTTCACTCCCCCAAATGACTGCAACAGCTAAGTCTGGACCAGGCTGAAGCCGGGAGCCTGGACCTCCATTCCAGTCTCCCACGTGGGTGGCAAGGGCCCAAGTACCCCGGCCATCTTCTGCTGCTTTCCCAGGCGCATTAGCAGGAAGCTGGATTGGAAGTGGAAGTGAATAACTGCCTGTTCAGGTTGCTGGCTTCCCAGGTGGTGGCTTAACCCACTGCGCCACAACGCTGGCCTCACCATCCTTCTTGATCTTAACATCCAGGACTCTGCCCGGGCCATACGGTAAAAACTGAAGAATATAGATTACAGACGATATTATTGCTATTTTCTAAATAAAAAGTCAGATGAGGTACAAAGGTAAAAGAGAGGACAAGGACAGATGAGGCACCTACAGCCTACCTACAAAATGATCCCAGCAAATGACAGATACAGAACCTTTACATGGAAGGTGCAAAACCTAGGAACAGAAGCAGTGTGTTTTATAGAAATATTAGGATATCTGGAAATGTTCTTTTCAACAACAGACATGAGCATGAGCATCTGTTGTGTAACAGGCCTTGGTTGGCTGGGTACTGGAACACAGAGAGGTAAACAGGAAACACCCAGAAAAATAAATAAAATGAAGTGTGAAGAAACTTTTGTTTTTAATCATTTTTTACTTCATTCTCTAAAAATTTTTGTTTTGCATATAATTTTAGCATATATATTCATAAGTGTATATAATTTATAAATGAATAAATATACACAGAGGCCTTTGAAAAGTTAATGGAAAATGTAAAAAACTATGTTATGGATTTCAAAAAAAATTGTTTGCACCGAACGAAGCACCTGTTCATTTCATTTTGTTCATAAACTTTTTGAAGTAACCTTGTATAAATAAAATTATATGCCAAAATAACATTCCCCAAAGTGACTTTCTGATGAGGTGTGCAATCAAAACCCCATAGAGGGTCCTGTGTTGTGCCGCAGAAGGTTAAGCTGCTTGTAGTGGCACTAGTTCAAGTTCCAGCAGTTCCACTTCTAATCTAGCTTCTTGCTAATGTGCCTGAGAAGGCAACAGATAATGACCCAAGTGCTTAGGCCCTTGTCACCCATGTGGGAGACCACAATGGAGTTCCTAGCTTCCGGTTTCTGCTGGCCCAGCTCTGGCCGGTGTTGCCATTTGCAAGTGAACCAGTGGATGGAAAATCTCCTTCTGTCTGCCTCTCATTTTGCATTTCAAATAAATAAGTCTAAAAAGAAATAAACCACAACAACAGAATATGATGATACTTTGCTAGGAGCAAACCAAAAGTTTTTATGGGATCCCCTGTGTGGAAAAAATCCAGGACCCAGCCTTGAGGCAGGAGATGAGGCCTTGGCTAAGTCAATACCTTGCATAATGTTCATTGACAATGGGAAAACAAAACAAAAACCTACCACACAATCAGGACAGAATTTAGCAGACAGACATTCCTCCACATGAGAAAAAGGGTACTTTGCAGAAGTTAGCAAACAAGAATGGACTTCACAGTTCCTTCAGCAATGTCTGCCTCTTCCTCTCTCTCTTACTCCTGCTCTGAGCATAAATGGAATGCATGGAAATGTGAAGAACCCAGAACAGCCAAAACTATGCTGAAAAAGAAGAACAAAGTCAGAGAACTCACACTTCCATATTTTAGCACTTACCACCAAACCTCAGTAATCAAGACTTTGTAGAAGCACTAGAAGCCTAGGAGAGTGGACTAAATTGGGAACCAGCAATAAACCTTTACATTTATGACTGATTTTTTTAAAGATTTATTTTATTTATTTGAAAGGCAAGAGTAACATGGAAAAAGGGAGGGAGAAAGAGAGCTTCCATCTGCTGGTTTGCTCCACAAATGGCCGCAATGGCTGGGCTGGACCAGGCTAAAGCTAGGAACTTGGAACTCCATCCAAGTCTCCCACGAGGGTTGCTGGGGCCCAAGTACTTATGCTGCTTTTGCCAGCACATTAGCAGGAAGCTGGATAGGAAGTGGAGCAGCTGGGACAGGAACCAGAGCCTCGATATGGAATGCTGGCATTATAGGCAGGATCTGAAGCTGCTATGCCACAAGAGAAATGCAAACCCAAACCACAGTGAGATGCTACTTAATATACATTAGGGTAATAAAAAAAATAACAAGTGCTGAAAAGGATGTAGAGGAATTTGAACCTTCATATATTGCAGGTATTTAAAATGGTACAGCAGCTAGGAAAATACTTTTGCAGTTTCTCAAAATGCTAAGCAAAATTATCATAGGACCTAGAAATCCTACTCCTGGGTATATACCAAGAGAATTGAGAACATGTCCACAAAAGAAACTCGTTCAAGAATGTTCTTAGCAGCATTATTCATAATAGCTAAAACGTGGAAACAAATGTCCATCAATCGATGAATGAATTAATAGTGTTGTATATCCGTATGAAAGAATACTATTTGATAATTAAAAGGAATGAAATAGTGATATGTACTATGACATACAGGAGAATTCAAAATATTATGCTATATCAAAGAAGCCAGGCACAAAGGGGCATACATTATATTATTCCATTTATGTGAAACATCCAGAGCATGTGAATCTATAGAGATAGAAAGTGAACTAGTTGTTACCTAGGACTGAGAGAAGGAGCAGGAACACAAGGTGACTGCTAATGGGTACAGGGCACCTTTTTAGGATGTGAAAAGTGCTCTAAAATTAGACTGTATTGATGATTGCATAACTCTGAATATGCAAAAAAAAGACATTGAGTTGTATATTTTAAATGGTTGAACCACAAGATATGTAAATTTTATCTTAATAAAGCTGATTTTAAAAATATACATTCTTATATTTGAAAATTTAGAAAGTACAAGGATAGTATAGGGGCTGTTGCTGGGGCTTAGCAGGTAAAGCCGCGTCGCCTGCCATGACAATGTCCTGTATGGGTGCCAGTTCAAGTCCTGGCTGCTCCACTTCCGATCCAGCTCTCTACTATGGCCTGGGAAAGCAGTAGAAGATGGCCCAAGTCCTTGGGCACCTGCACCCACATGGGAGACCTGGAAGAGGCTCCTGGCTCCTGGCTTCAGCTAGGCACAGCTCCGGTTGTTGTGGTCATCTGGGGAGTGAACCAGCAGATGAAAGACCTCTCTCTCTCTCTCTGTTCCTCTCTCTCTCTCTCTCTCTCCCTCTCTCTCTCTCTCTCTCTGTGCCTCTGCCTTTCAAATAAATAAAGACATCTTAAAAAAAAAAAAAAAGAAAATACAAGGACAGTATGTGAAAAAGAAATCAATTATAATCCCAAGGAATTTGTGTCAGAGTTACCATTTGAGATGCCTGCAGCTCTTATCCAATGCCTGAGTTCAAGGCCTAGCTCCTCTCCTGATTACAGCTTCCTACTAATGGGCACCTTGAGAGGCAGTAGGTGATGGCTTAAGTAGTTGGATCCCTGCCACCCACATGAGAGACTCGGATTGAGTTCCTGGCTCCTGGCTTTAGCCTGGTCCAGCCCCAGCTATTCTAGGCTTTTGGGGAGTAAACTAGTGGATGGCAAATCTGTCTCTCTCTTTCTGCCTTTCAAATAAAACATAATAAATAAAAGCATATCCTGACAACTACCAATAATCATTATCAGCATTTAAGTACATTTTCTTCCAATATTTTATCTAAGGATTTTTTACATGATAGCTACTATTATCTGTGTATTTCATGTTTTCATAAGCATTCTTCATCCCATTAAAACTCATAAATATATTAATACTCAACTTTACACTTAATTCTATATATATGACACAATTTGCTCAATTATGATATATCTATTTTACTATTCCCTTACTCCTGGGTATTTAGGATATTTCCAATGCACATATTTATGTTTCAACTTACAAACAAGAACCCAAACTTTGAAAGCTTTCAACCAAATTCCTACTGAAAATTCTTTTCACTCGTTCCCAGGATGACAAAAGCAATCCA